CTTCTCTAACGTAAAGGGAGATTTCCCATGCTTCCTGCAAAGCAAAATAACTTACCCTCCTTCTCAGGCTAAAAACCCACCATTGTATCTGATTGAGTTTAACCAATGCAAAGTCAACACACCTTTTCTGTGCAGACGTTGACACTCCGCTTCGAGCAAAATGTATATAATCTTGCCCACTCCCCTCAGATACTGCTCGTATATTTACTTGAAACCCCCTCTCAAATATAAACCTATCACTTCTAAATCTGCAATTAATAGCTGTCTAGCATAGCCTGCCTATGAACAAAACACAGCACAAACTCTTGTGCAAAGCTTTTGACACTGTCCCTTTAATGTGACTTGAACAAACTCCAAGAGTAGTTCTGAATTCTAGTTCAAACAATTCACTTTTTGATCTCGGCTGAGACTTCTCCTGAGTGCCAAGCCTGAAAACATTGTTATCGTATGAACCTTGTGCCAAACTCATTTAGTGTCAGCTAGGACAGTTTACTGCAGACAGTTTGGGGATAAATGACTGGGAGACACATATATTTATCCATTGGTAGTCTTCCTACAGAAGCAAGCTGAAGATCAATGAAAGCTACGGTGGACGAGGGAACTTCGCACACAATGCCTTATTTGTTTCTGCCAGCTCATGCCCAGAATGTGCTTAGGACTTGGCATATTTCTTACTCTGAATGAACTTGAATATAGACAAATACAATTTATGTCTTGTTAAAAAAATTTAATAAATGATAATCTGTTATGTCAGCAGTATGTGTTCAGTACCTTTATTCCAGCATTTCTTAGCATCTCTAGAGTTGGTCTAACATCTGCTTGCAGCTGATCTTCTACGCCAGTGAGACACAGCAATTCCATTTCTCGCTCCAAACTCTCTACAACAGCAGCAACCTTCAGGTTTCTATCATGTATGCTCAACTTTGCTTGGTTATATCGACTCTGTTGGCACAAACACAAAGCCACTTAAGAGCTTGCTATGACTCAAAGTATACATTCAGTCTACCAACCAGTTATAATATGGATTCATTAGGCTGAATGTTTGTCTTTAAAAATCTTTGAAGAAAATCAACATTAAAAGAGCAAATTTTACTTTACACACACAGTTATACATGTTTTTATCTGGCAAATGACCTCAAGAGAACACCTTCTGAAGAACTATTAAGAATTAGGCATCCCAGCACACAGGCAGGAACTGCCCTTATCTTTGAAAATAAGCAGATTTTTTAGGTTATGCTGAAGCTACAGGATTAACATTATGCTAGCTTCTGGGACAACACTGTCCAGTCACATAATAACACAGTATCCTACATATGACTACAGAACAATCACTAACGAATGACAAAATCTCTAACAGATTGTATGTCATACCTCAATTATCAATATTTTAAGTATGAATCATCTTTTTTGCGACCTTAATAGAATAAAAAAAGAGGAATGTTCCCCTTGAAGTGATTAAATGTGGTGAAGCACAAGATCACATTGTACCTTCATACCTCAAAATCCTGATACTGTTCTTCAGTCAGTGATTTTTTGGCAACAACCAGCGTTCGCAGTCCTTCTCGTGCCATATTACCACACTAAATAGACCAAACCACAGAATAGTTACGCAAATATTCAATCGTATGTACACATTTTATACTATATTCTAACAGGAGATATCTCTACCATAACTTTTGGTGTTTCTTTAGACTCTTAAATTATTTTTGAGAAGCCACAGAATAAAAACACTTCAGGTCCCCTAAATGAAGTGGCATGCTACGGGAAAGTCAATTAGATTTACTCTTCTAGCTTAAAGAAAATCTCTCTTAGGTTGAAGCTTTACAATAAATTAAAACTATTTTTGAGGCATGTAACAGACCTACATTTTCTTTTTCCACTGAATGTACCTCTTATCAGAAAAATATCTACACATTAAAAATAGCCATGGAATAGCATGTCTTAATGAAAAACAAGGCTGTCCAGTGCAAAACACTTATTGATTTGACCTCATAAAGCTAAATAAATTAAACAAGTATTTTACAATTAATTGTGCATCATTATCGCCAAAAGTAATTTTTATGACATTTTGCTAGGTCTTGAGGGAGTTTAATTTATTCATGTCCCCGAATAAATCAAACTGCCCTGCAGCAGATATTGATTCATATTGCCAATACCATTATGAACATACATGGTGTAATCATTGTATTAACATATTGTCTGTATGTAGGGTCAAAATAAGATGATTGCTGGTACCTACTAGAGCCACACAGTGAAAAATATTAATCAGCTTTGAAATTCAGTCCCTAGCTATTTTATATTAAGTTTAATAAATGTGGAAAAAAAACTATTCCAATTTGGCTGCAAACCTTATTAAACTTTATAATTCATAATCATACCTCACTGTAGAATTTGATAAAACAAGGGCATTTCAGGATAAATAGGTTTATAGCAGAATACGTCTCTGAAGTAATTAGGTTTTATGTGAAAGGTCAGTCAATGAAAAACAACTTCACTTGTTTTAAGTAGGAACGTGTTCTGCTATGAGTACTAGCTTTGCTTTTCCTGTAGGTTATTCAAGAATTGGAAATGATTCTAATCCCTTAAAAACCATTCAGTATATATGTAACTGAACTTCAAAACCCATTACTGCCTTGGTTCAGGTTCTCCTTTAAACCTGTTCCAATAACATCCGATATTTTGATTTTAAACTTTTAGTTTTTACAAAATTTTAGTTTTTACAAATTTTGATTTTGTTTCTTACCTCTTCTTCTAACCAATCATTGTACTGTACAATAGTGGACATTGCAACATCTGCACCCTTCATGTAAAATGTAATTTCTCCTGAAGATTCATCCTAAAATTTACAAAAGAAATAGACAGAAAAAACCTTCCTGTTTATACAGTTAAAACACTTACCTACCAATAACCTAACTGTCTTTTGAAGTAGTCAATGAATTATCATTTATAAAAGATGAAGTACCTTACCAAGAGGTGGGTAAGTTTTATTACTTGATGTTACCACTTCCAAAGACATATCTGATTCCATTGAGATGCATATTCCCTACTTTCTCAGTTCTAACTGAAGTCAATGTGAGTAACAGATTCCCAGTATCCCTGAACTGCCTGTCTGAATTTTAAAATATAACTGGTATGCCCCCTCTAACTACTATTTTTTTTTCTTTGGTGGCATATACTATCTAACCTACAACAGAAAGTTTGCTCTCTATCTTTGAAAAACCAAAGCAATTAAAAATTTACAAATAACTTAGTGTAAATGCTTGTTACAGATGTTTTAATGATGAAACATTCATTGCACATTCAGAGAATTCACATGCAGGCAAATATAATTCAAATCAGTAATTTCTGAGGTATGGTCTGTTGCAGAAGGAATGGATTAGTCTGATCTGCAAGCTTTTTAGAATATCTCTGAACATGTCACTGTTAAACAGACTCTTAGTGTCAACCTCACCTAATGAAATACAGACTTGCTGAGGTCTCTCCAGACCTGAGCATGCACATACTCTGCCTGAGGTATCCTTGCCTAAGGCTGATAGCATGCCTGGCTTGTCATCATGGGCAAATAAAAAACGGGATGAGTTTGACACATATTTAACTGGGACTTGGCACTGATCTAACCATCTAGCAATGTTGCCTGAAGCTGTTCTGCTACAGTGTCAGATTCTAGGTAGAGAGAAGATAGAACTATGTAATGTGGATGGTTTAACATTCGCAGAGGTTGAAACCTTCCTTTTAGTATGGTGGTGTGGCTTCCTTTCATCTGAGGTTTTAATGATCATTACTATGGTCCTAACTGGGCATCTAGAAGACAACTAAGCACATATCTTGTAAATCTTAGACCCTGTGGGTTCTGCTGTGTATGCACACCAGTTCAGATACCAGTATCGGGTGAAGAAAAGCAGCAGCACCAGTAGTATAGAAAGATGCTAACTACTATCGTAAGAAATTTCAGCCATTAATTTATCCCTTCAAGAGGCAACATATTTTGTATGAAAGAAACAAATGGAAAATTTAAAACAAAGGCTTAAAGGCAACTTGCAGCATCAGAGGCTAATTGTGAAGCAGTGAAATTAACATGTTAGAATCACAGAACCATTTGGGTTGGAATGGACCTTTAAGATCATCGAGTCCAACCATAAACCTAGCATGGCCAAGTCCAACACTAAACCACGTCCCTAAGCACCACATCTACATGCCTTTTAAATGCCTCCAGGGATGGTGACTCCAGGGATCTTCCTATGTAAGAGAAGAGTTTGTCCTTTACAAAGCTCTCTACGACATCAGGTTAGCCTGATTTTTGTACAATTGCTTGCCTAGTATTTCATGTGTACCTGTGTCAAAGGTATACTTCCCATTTGAAAAATGTGAAATGCATTCCCTGGAGTATCAAGTTTCTATTAAATTTTATAAGAATAAAACAAGCAGTAAAAAATTTTTTTGAGAAATAAAACCCAACACCCAGAACACCCGCAAAATTACCCTAACTATGATCCCCATGCGCTTGCTCTCAGAAGTGAAGGGAAAGATCTGCAGAATATAGTACGTCAGAATGTGTCCACCCGGGGTCTTCAGCTGCATTGAGGTCAAATCCCTGTTAACGAGAGTGAGACCAACACTCTCTGTCCACTGCACCAGAGCTACCTGAAGAGAAAAAAAAAAAAAAAAAAAAAACACCAACACATTTAAGTGGGAAAGGTCCTAAAAAAAAAAAAAAAAAAAAAAAAAGAGACACACACATTTAAGTGTGAAAGGTCTATTATACTGTCATATAAATTAGGCTAAAGCCAAACAACTGTTGCTAGGGCAAAAGTCTAAACTCTTCCAAGAATCTAGGAAAAAAAAAATGTGAATAGCAGTAGACCGAGTACAAAATCTTAATACATTAAATGAGTACTTTCCTTCTGAAAGCTTACAAAAATTCTTATGAAGAATATAAAAACTTATTTGAACTTATTCCTGCAAATGAAGTATTTAGAATATATTGTTCAGAAATAACAGTTCTAATAAAAAGCCCCAGATATTTATTCAATGATACTTAAGGGGCATCCAGTTATTATTATGCAAAACCAGAACACAATTTCTGTGCCAACGACACCATTATGTAAGTAAAAGATTTGGGGTATATTTCCACATAAAACATTTTATTACATCTACAGTTATATGCAAGCCAAGACACTGTAATACGCAGCACATAGATAAGCAAGGGATCTTATTTTCAGCTTGCTTTGTTCACTTGCATAATTTTATTACTTTGTTTCAACAATACTATAATTGAGTTCTTACCATATCATATGAGATAGAAACCAAGCTTACAATACCGCATCCCACAAACATGCTTGTGAAAAGTCTCTTTTACAAACCCAGAAATGCTGCATTATACAATAATCACTATTAGCTACCACTACGTGGCATCTTAAATGCATTAGATTTGCCTTCTTTTATTTTGATTTTGCTGCTTTGAAGTGCATGACATCTAGCCTCTACTTTCTTCTATGTTATGCTTCATAATAATGCACTAGATATTTTTCTATTACTACCGTGTGATTTATTCCTTCAAAAATTTAATACTTTAGGAAAACTGCTTTACTGTTAGTTTATATACAAGCCATATTCCATATTTGAATGGGAAGTTTCTGATAAAAAAACCCTCTCCTCCTCAATTCTATTTTTATTTTTCCAAATGCTAATCATTATTGGAAACCAGATTTTAAAATTAGTAAAAAGGTAATTATAATGAAGTTCATGTGATTTTTATGGAACCAGTCTCTGCTATTAATCTCAGGTAAGATGAAAAACATAAAAATCAAGCAGTCCGATAAAATGACATGCAAGTAGTAAAATCCCTAGATATGTTCAACAGATATGATGACTAATGCTAAGAATTTCACTGAAAGGAAGTAAATCACCGTAGCTTCTATGAAAACATAAAATTGGAAAAAAATAAATTTGTGCGAACCCCCAAGAAATTCTAGTTGTGCCATCTGTGCAGGCATCACCAAATGAAAATACAGCAAGATGCAGTAACATTAAAGAATACACTTTGAAAATAACCATTTTAAAATCTCAAAAATCACAGGAAGTCTTTTTAGAGATTTTTTTTCTTCTTCAATAGAAGTACCATATAAGCTGTACATGATCCAATACTCCCAAGGTTAATTTTCAATTTTCACAGTGAAAGGTTACTATTACATTCTGACCTGTAAATTGCATCTTTCTACTACTACCCTATCATCTCATTTGTGTCCCTTTGTAGCTAGGACTTAAGTGTTCTATATTTGGTGACTCACATCTGTTTATTATTTCACTTACGCTTGGCTTCACCTACCATTTGGACTAGCACTTTGCAGCACAGTCATTTTGGATTCTTATACCTGGCCTACACACAACTGTATCTACTTTTTTTTAAATTGATCAGTGCAAATATCATAGCAGAAATAGTCAATAAGGTTCAAGAGTCAAATAGATGCCTAAAAGGCAACTGAACAAACTTGAGAGCAAGATACTGTTCGACTCTTGTTATTCAGAATGAATCAGACCAGCTAGACCTTAACAGCATCCAGAACAACATAGTCAGACCTTACCATTAAATATCTGAAGCTTTTAGCGTATACAAATTTAAAAAAAGTATGTCACAAATGGCATGAAAATCTACATTATAAATCTTAACAAATAATACATGGTGAATGCCTGGCTATACAGAGTTCAAAAAAAGGATTCTTAGGTAAGTCTCTCTTCTTGAGATTTCCCCTCTACAAGTATATTCTTTTCTCTTCAATATGTTTCTGAAACCTTACATTAAAATGGTCTTGTACTCTAGTGTGCATACATCAAGGACCTCTAGAATGCCAGGTAAATGCAGTAGCTGTGGCTTCTACAGAGCTTGACATATTGGATGGAGTCAGATAAAGCCACCAAAGGTTGGACAAGCCCCAAAGTCTTCACTGGTGATGCTACCATTTTGCTTTAAAAAAATTTCATTATAATATTTATTTGCCAATCACCAATATTACCTAACACGCACAGATGAAATGTGTCAAGTTTCCTGAATCCATTGAGTATTTTGTGGACCTTGTCTGGCTTATCACCAAGCTTCCCTTCTACGGAATGTGGCTGCCTGGTAGACATACGGTCCTCCTAGTACTGAGACACAGATGTGCACTTGAACCCATTAACTGGGTAGTGTTCCCAGGACAAGTAATGTAGATGGAGTCAAAGAGAGCTTCTGTGGTTTCTAACTTGCTAGTTGTCTTTCTCCGCAGTAGCAACCCAAAGGGTAAAGACAGCTATCCACCTCTCGTGAGAAAAGGTCAAAGTAGCAACTTCCAAATCAGGAATAAAGGTAGCAGATACCTGCATTATGAAATGGAAACGCAACAGATCTGACAAAGGCTCCTGAGAAATACCTCTTATTTAGTGTTTCTTAACCACCTTCTTTCAGACGTTTCTATTTACCACATGCCCTCTGTCGAGCTCTGGTTGTCCCTGTCAGCAGTGTCTCTCCACTAGAGGCCACCCAACCCTCAGAGCTTCCATAGTTCACAGCCCCAAATATCAAACTCTTTAATTTCCACAGCACAGATTCACATTCAAAGTCAAATTCAGAGACTTCATAAGGAAACTCTCTCAACTCAAGCAGTAACTGTGTGACCCACAGTGTAACCTACAGCAGTACCATATCAGGAGGTGGAAGTAGCTTCTCTGAGCCGGACGGTGTAGCTAGCTCAGTTGCTTGAGGAATGTGTGCGTCTTGAGAGAGGCAGGAAGAGGGGAAACTTCAGAAGCATTGTTCTTACAGACCATGGCAGCCCTGAAAACTAATTCCATGTTTCAGGGATATAAACATCCCATTTATTTAGAAATGTTCATTTATGGAACTAAATCAAAACAAGCACTTTATAAATATCTTAGGTATTTTCTAGAAAGTTCCATAGAGTACACAAGGTTGTTAAGTGACAATGATGCAGTTACCTATTTTATCAGTCACTAAAACCTAAGCCTACTAGAATCAGAAAAATGAATAGTTAAGGACTTCATAAACCCCATACCAAGCACAGAAAAAAATTCCAAACCCATTATTCCTGTTGTGGATTCAGAATTGTGCATTTAATTAAAATATTAGACTGATTTTAACCCAAAATAAATATTAATCAACAATTTTAAAAAACTCTAGAAAACATGTAAACTGATAGGCCACAAAAACCTTGGTATATTTAATTTTATCATAAACCAATTACATTCTAAATTATTTTTTTTCAGCTATGGTGCCAACATTTTACTTTTTTTTTTTAAGGAAAAAAATCTCTTCTACAATAAATTCTACTAGCCTATGACTCCTTTTAATAACCCCAATGAAAATAATTATGTGGTAGAAAATGCTACAAATACCTAAGCACATGAGTCAATAGTCAAAATTAGGGGGGACATGTAAGATGAAACAGATTGTCCATAGAAAGCGTTTAAAGGAACAGCCATATCTCTATTTACTTCCGACTCTGAGGATGAAAGAGTTAAGTTCCTCCCTGCTCTATCAAATAATAGGAGCTTGCTTCTCTCTGGAGTGGTGTTAGATGGCTTTAGGCCATTCAATCAGTATGTACAGGACTGTTCCTTACATAGCCCAACTTGAAGCCCATCTCTGAATTCTCCTGACCTTTCCCTATGAGGGTGAGTAATTTACACAAGGAAGGGCACTCTCATTCCCTCTCAGATTAACATCTTCCTTAGCCTCCTCTGGACCAACAGGAAATATCACGTATCACCCAGCTGCCTTACTAATTTTCAGTTTGGGGAATTGCAACACTTAGTCCCTTTGCAGTCACTTAACTACGTATCATTCAATCATAAAATGGTTTGGTTGGAAGGGACCTTAAATATCATCTAGTTCCAAACCCCCTGCCATGGGCAAGGACACCTCCACTACACCAGGCTGCTCAAAGCCCCATCCAACCTGGCCTTCAACACTTCCAGGGATGGGGCACCCACAGCTTCTCTGGGCAACCTGTGCCACTGCCTCACCACCCTCACAGTGAAGAATTTCTTCCTAATATCTAATCTAAATCTTCCCTCTTCCAGTTTAAAGCCATTGCCCCTTGTCCTATCACTCCATGCCCTTGTCCCTCCCCAGCTTTCTTGTAGGCCCCTTTAGCTACTGGAAGGCTGCTCTAAGGTCTCCCTGGAGCATTCTCTTCTCCAGGCTGAACAACTCCAACTCAGCCTGTCTTCACAGGAGAGGTGCTCCAGCCCTCGGATCATCTTCATGGCTCTCCTCTGGACTCGCTCCAACAGGTCCATGTCCTTCTTGTGCTGGGGGCCCCATAGCTGAAGGCAGTACTGCAGGGGGTCTCATCATAGTGGAGTAGAGGGGCAGAATCCCCTTCCTCAACCTGCTGGTCACGCTTCTTCTGATGCAGCCCAGGATACGGTTGGCTTTCTGGGCTGCAAGCATACATTGCCAGCTGATGTCGAGATTCTTGTCAACCAACATCCCCAAGTCCTCCTCCTCAGGGCTACTCTTGATTCTTCCTCTACTCAGCGTGGGATTGCCCCAACCCATGTGCAGGACCTTGCACTTCGCCTTGTTGAACTTCATGAGGTTCGCATGGTCCCCACCTCTCAAGCCTGTCAAGGTCCCTCTGGATGGC